CCTTTTTACTCGGTCCAGTTTTCTCACTCATTTTGGTCAGCATATGTTTTACCAAGGGCTTAAAATCTGAGGCAATAGGCTGACAGTTTTTTTTTAACATCACATTGCGATCGACCAGTACTGCCTCCGCGATCGACCAGTAGATCGCGATCGACGTAATGAGCACCCCTGCTTTAAGATAGCTGAAATTATTTTAGGACTAGTGAAAATAACAATTCAAGATATCAATCAATCACATTTTGGAGAGTCAAAATGCCTGTTGAGAATCATCATTTAAAGTTTCACACATCTGGAATTATAATCAAGATATCTCAAAGTTATATTTAACTAGCCAAAACTATATATTTTGATATCTGAATTACAAAATATCCCTCTAGTCCTGTCACTGAGCTATCATAACAGGTGCCTGCAGTATTTAGAAAGTAAAAAAAAAGTTGTTTCAGAATGCCACAATATAGAAAGAACTCAGCAGTATGGGATGTGTGGCAAAAAAGAAGTTTGTGAACTCGAAGGCTGCTTCAGAAATGTGTGGTGAATTGCTGCGGGGAACTTCGTTTGAAGATGGATATTCAAGCTTTGCTGAGTTAGCGGCACCTGTCTCACGGTCAATCCGATTCAGGAGCTCAGATGTTGGTCAGCCGCATTCTGTTGCTCCCTCTTCTCACGGTCACTGGTTCCCTTAGAGACCGTCAACAAACGGTCTCTAAAGGAACCAGTGACCGTGGACGTATGAGAAATAAAAATAGATAAATTGTCTTCTGGCCATCTGAAACACAACCAATAGTAAATCCTGTAACTAGATTACATAATTGAGGCTCATCTTTTCAAGTGAAAGAAACATAATAACTTCTCTGAGTGATGAATTTGTTATTTATGTTACTGGTGAGTTTAGACCTGCCAGGGCTCAGCGGTGTGGTAAGCAGTTCCTGCTTGCTTTGTTGTGTTTTCCATCTCCTCTTCCCAACAGATGACTTAAAGCTGACAGGTGGGCGTGCCCCTAAAGCTACAGCTCGTTACGGTGCTGAGGACTGGCAGCTAAAAGGAGCGAGGAAGCAGCCAGAAGTCACCAGTCTCTTAATGTTCCTCCCGTGGTAGGCTCCCTTGGCCTCTGTCTGTTGACAGCTTCAGTTTACCATGGTTGACCTTGTTTCTTTCTCTCTATGCTCCAGGTGTTGCTCAGATTCCTCTCTGAGCGTTTCCTCGGCTGCTGCTCGGGCTCCTCTCCAACAACAGCCACTCCACCTGTCACTCAGTCATCTGTGGGTATCACATCTACTACTGGGCTCGGCTCTTCACTCAGCTCCCCCTGTCCAGCGTCTCTCAGCTGCTCCCTCCTCCCACACTCGGTGGTGCAGTTAGGGACCATGAACAAATTTGATTTCAGAAGTGGGGGGGACGCATTCAGTGTGTTTGACCATCTTACCGCAAACCAGATTCAGTGGCGCATCAGATGTTTGCAGGTGAGCTTCTCAGAAAAGACTTTAGGTTTAACAAACAGAAGCTTGTGGGCAGTCTAAACTCAGAAAAGAAGGCTTCAGTTTGAGCTGCATTTTTGTCTGATTGGTTCTATTGCTCGACGAATGTCTGTGTACTGCAGCCTTACATTGTTTTTGGACAGTAAAATGCGCAGGGGACCAAAACAGACCTTTGAAAAAGCTCAGGGGACATTTATGACACCATATTGGACCATGCAAAACACAGATTTGCCTTCACAAAGCCTCAAAAGGGCAAGGTTTATGTACAGAAATTAAACTTGTACATACCTAAACCTGTACTGTAAACCGTTTTGTTTTTATAATCTTTTTTGTTGTTGGCATTCATATGAATATACTGGTGTGATAACTTAGTATACGTTTGACTGGAATTTGGTATATGTCTGTTTGAATTTATAAATCCCCTGGAGAAAACTGCACCAGCCGCCACTGTTGAATACCGTATCTGATATTCTGAAAATATGCAAACAAAGTAACCCAGCTTCTGGGACTATAGTGCTGAGCTTTCTCCTTCTTTCGAATTTTTTGATGCTGCAATGGGTGATCCTTTTTTCCCCCGACTCCAAACCCGTCGTTTAGAAACAGGAGCAGCTAATGGGACTGCGCGCTGCCATGAACAGCCCTGCTCCACAACATGCTGCGAGACCAGCATCCCTACAGAAATAAGGAGGAAATGGAGAGGCTGCATGGGTGGGAGGACAAAGCAGGGAAAAAAAGATATCTACCTTCGGTTGTCATGGGAAATGTAAGGTTGCTGTGCAACAAGATCAAGGAGATTGCAGCTTTAACCCGCTTCGGGGGGAGATAAAGAGACACAAGTAACATGTGTTTCACGGAGACATGGTTAGAGAGCGGAAAAAAGGGAGGAGAGGGGCTGGCAATGTATTTGAAGGAGAGATGGTGTGGCACTGCTAATGTTTACTTGAAGGAATATATATACAGAGGGTGGAGGTGGAGCTACTGGCAGTGGGTATGAGACCGCAATGGCGTAAATATCGGTAAGCAGAGACAGCAGTTGCTTACGGGCCCACGACTTCTTAGGGGCCTCATCACTGACACCTGGTGAGTTCCCTACGCATTTGTCGATCAGGACATCTCTTTGCAGATGTAATGGTGTGAAATATGCCTCTTAAACCCACCTGATGCTGAACTGACTGACCGCAGAAGACCTTGATGGTACTTTTAATTACTATGTTAATAACTGTATAGTTCATTAGACTGTTGGTAAAAAAATACACGCATTTATGTTTCAAACCGCAATAAAGATCTTAAAAGTATGTATGTAAAAGTATGTATGTAAGTATGTATAACTATGTATTTGAGTATTTTATTTTTTACACTACGATTTAGAATTATAGGTAACCCAGAGCATAGATTAAAACCATAACCGTTACGTATAATGTGTTTGCGACGATGGATAACAAAATAGAGGTACTTAAGCGGATTCCAGAAAAGAAAAAGGAAAGAAGAGCTGCTGGAAGAATGGCAAAAAGTTCCCAATATAAACACATTCTTTCAAAGAACCCAATAGGGAGAGGTGGATGTTACTGCTAAAGTGAGTAAAGATTGTGACCAGAAGATGAATGGAGAGAGTGTGGGTGAGGAGGGGGGCTGTGAAGCTCAAGCGAGCCCGATGGCTTGTTGTGCTTCAGACATCCCAAGTCTCCTGGAATAGATTGTTGTTCACGGAGGCCCGTGAGTCTGATAAATTGTCCCGGATTTTAGACTATGCGAGGTGGGGTTTTTTAATGGGAGTGATAGCATGCACGCAGCACAATAATTTGTGCATCATATGCGGATTAGAACTACTGCTATAGAAGTGTGTATGGATGTGGCACATTTCGGGTCGGTTGTCTACGGCGGGGGGTGGGAGGGTGTTCGATAAGCATCTCCCTGAAATGAGTTGAGAATTGCATAATTGTATCTTCGTGGCCGATTTATGGAACTGTCGCCATATCCTGAACCTTTAACACATGTTGTACTTCATATGGGGCCCACCCAGATAATGTTGCTTACTGGCCTATTGTTGTGTAGTTACGCCATTGGGAGACCACACTATCTTCCACGAGAGTTTGGGAACATGATCATTTTCTTAGTTTACTGTACATCCCCCCTTCTGTGGACGTCACAGCTGCGTGCGAGTCAATCCACGACGCAGTGACTATGCTGACATAGCACCCCAGCTCTCTCCTGTTCATAACTGGAGATTTCAATCGAGCCTCCCTCCGTTCCACCCTTCCCATGCTTACCCAGTATGTCACATGTAAAATCAGGGACAACAAAACCCTTGACCTTTTATGCAAAGGTTAAAGATGCCTACACCTCCGCCATCCCGATTACTCAGCCATTGAGGCTGTGTTTCTGAGGGGAACGAGCTGGAGTATCGATCGGCCATCATGAACTTTGTGGACTGGTGTGAGAAGAACCACCTTTGTCTTAACACCAGTAAGACCAAAGAGATAGTGATCGACTTCAGGACAACACCCCCACCTCACTCCCCCATGAACATCTAGGGACAGGACATAGACACCGTGGAGAGATTCAAATACCTTGGTGTTCACGTCAATAACAAACTGGACTGGACTCATAACGCCGACACCCTGTACAAGAAAGGCTAGAGCCGCCTCCACCTCCTGAGGAGGCTGAGATCCTTTTGACTGAGCAGGCCTCTGCTTAAAACCTCTGACCCTGCGGTGGCATCAGCCCTCCTCTACGTGGTTGTCTGCTGGTCCCCTAGCAGCGCAGATGGGGAAAGAAAGAGATTTAACAACCTAATGCGAAAGGCTGCTTCTGTCCTGGGCTGCGTTCTGGACTCAGTGGAGGAATTGGCTGACAGGAGGGTGCTATTCAAGCTTTCATCCATGATGGACAACCCCTACCACCCTTTCCACTAGCCTGTAGAGGAACTGAAAGACTTTTACACCCTGTTTGCAAAAAGGAGTGTCACCACAGGTCATTCATCACTGCTGCAACCAGACTCTACAATGCCACACTACAATGGCTATAACTTGTGCAGTGTATAATGTGCAACTACTATTTGATAACCTGTGCAATAACCTGTTTCTCTATATTTAATACCTAGTGCAATAAATATATATATATTTATAAATATAAATATACATCTATATATGAATATAAGTATCAATCTATATAAATACCTATGATCCTACTATAAAAAAAACAACCAAACAAAAAACAAAAAACTGTCATATCTGGACACACTGTATATACTGTATATATCCCGTGCATTTTCTTCCTTTTGCACATTCTTCTTCTTTGACTATTTGAGCTGATGTAATGAATGCGTTTCTCCACTGTGAGATCAATAAAGTAAAAAAAATAATCAATCATTCAATCAATGGGAAACACGCATTTTATAAAGTATGATAAACCATAATAACTTTTGAATTCTTTTACCATAAATAATTCAATCACATGTTAATCATTTTCTCATAATTAAGTCATATGCTGATGAGATTTTTTTTTTCTTTGTTTTTGACCTAACAGGAGATAAATCCAGAGCCACACTGAGAGCAGATAAAACAACCATACCACTAGGGCGCAGCGTTAGACTGACCTGCTCTGTGGATGGATCTGCTGACTGGAACTTTTACTGGTTCAGAAATTGGCAACGATATTCTGTAGACCAGACCAGAAGAAACATTGATCCATACGGAGTCATCAGCATCTCAGAGGGAGGTCTATACAGCTGCAGAGGAGGAAGAGGAGATCCAGTTTTTACAACAGAAACAAGCAATGAAATCTCTATTTGGAAAACTGGTGAGTATAGCTCTATATTCTGGGCTAAATTAACACTCTCTTCAAATCTCAGCTTAGATCAGTGGTGTCTAAAAGAACAGCTTTCATTACATGATACCATAGATTGGAATTTAGCTTCTATCGTGAAATTGTTGTACTTGCATTTAACTAATGACACTTGTTTTTATTCAAAGTTAAGTCCTTACTTAAAATATGTTTTCCTTCAACTGTTGATGTATAAAAACGATCATTCTGTTTATTGGAATTTAAAAATTTTATGTAAACCTTGTTATATTATGTATTTTCCCCCCAAAGTATTCTCTGCTTTGTTACGTCATACAATTACAGTATGACTGATCAAACATAATAGTGAAATGTATCTTCAAAAATAATCTCTGGAGTTTACCGATTACCTACAACATGTAAAACTGAAATATATTTTGTTACAAAATGTTTGTTTTAGCTATGAATGTATCTGTTTTACTAAGCTAGTGGTAACATTATTGCTTTTCATCTTATTTTGAAGTCTCTCTACTTTTAGGTTATGGTTATTGACTCTATATCTGTTTTTTTCAGAATAAAAAACAACAACATTATTTTACGAGCATAACACTTGGTAGCAATGAATGCCATTTAGTGAAGGTAGTTTAAGTTACGGTAATATTCTTACTAAAATGTTTATCACGAACAGTTTTTAAGCCAACAGTGATCCAACAAACCAGTGGGTCTGATGTATACAGTGGAGAGAAAGTCACTCTGAGATGTAAGATCTATGGAGGTGGAGGAACTCAGTGGACGTATGAATGGAGTCCAACCAACAGAAACTCTCCAACATCCAGTGAATACAGGATCATCACAGCTACTGAGTCTGGTGGTACATACCGGTGTAGGGCTAGAGGAGACTATCAGATAACAGACTGGAGTGATGCTTTAACACTGACAGTGAGAAGTGAGTAGAATTTAGAATACTTTTTTATCGTTTGATCTAAAAAACAACAACAACAACAACAAAAAAACTATTTTGTTTAACTAATGAGCATAGACTAAAGGAATTTGTAAAACATTATTTTAGATGTCTTGAAAAGTTCAGCATGTTTTTGTAGTAAATGCTCACTAAAATACCTGGAATCTGTATTTCTTATGTAAAGTCTTTCTTTTTTAATCCCTTTTTGAATTAGATATGAATTATTAAGCAACTTTTATTTTTTTTTAACAGTATTAAAAAAGTATTTTTGATTAAAGTAAGTCATGTCATGTGATTTTTTTTTCTTTTCTTTTAAACTTCACAGCAGATAAACCCAGAGCCACACTCAGAGCAGATAAATCACTCATACCACTAGGGGGCACTGTCAGGCTGACCTGCTCTGTGGATGGATCTGCTGACTGGAACTTTTACTGGTTCAGAAATGGGCAACAATTATCCGTAGTCCAGACCAGAAGAAACATTGATCCATACGGAGTCATCAGTATCTCAGAGGGAGGTCTATACAGCTGCATAGGAGGAAGAGGATATCCAGTTTTTACAACAGAAACAAGCAACAAAATCTCTATTTGGAAAACTGGTGAGTATAGCTCTATATTCTGGGCTAAATTAAGACTCTCTTCAAATTTCAGGTTAGATCAGTGGTGTCTAAAAAAACATCTTTCATTACATGATACCTTAGATTGGAATTTAGCTTCTATTGTGAAATTGTTGTAGTTGCATTTAATTCATGACACTTGTTTTTATTCAAAGTTAAGTCCTTACATTTAATTTTGAACCAAAATATGTTTTCCTTTAACTCTCGATGTATAAAGACAATCATTCTGTTTACTGGAATTTAAAAATTTTATGTAAACCTTGTTATATTATGTATTTTCCCCCCAAAGTATTCTCTGCTTTATTACGTCATACAATTACAGTATGACTGATCAAACATAATAGTGAAATGTATCTTCAAAAATAATCTCTGGAGTTTACCGATTACCTACAACATGTAAAACTGAAATATATTTTGTTACAAAATGTTTGTTTTAGCTATGAATGTATCTGTTTTACTAAGCTAGTGGTAACATTATTGCTTTTCATCTTATTTTGAAGTCTCTCTACTTTTAGGTTATGGTTATTGACTCTATATCTGTTTTTTTCAGAATAAAAAACAACAACATTATTTTACGAGCATAACACTTGGTAGCAATGAATGCCATTTAGTAAAGGTAGTTTAAGTTAATATTCTTACTAAAATGTTTATCGCGAACAGTTTCTAAGCCAACAGTGATCCAACAACCCAGTTGGTCTGATGTATACAGAGGAGAGAAAGTCACTCTTTTTTGTTTTCAACCTAACAGCAGATAAACCCAGAGCCACACTGAGAGCAGAGGAAACAATCATACCACTAGGGGGCAGTGTTACACTGACCTGCTCTGTGGATGGATCTGCTGACTGGAAGTTTGACTGGTTCAGAAATGGGCAACAATATTCTGTAGTTCAGACCAGAAGAAACATTGAGCCATACAGAGTCATCAGTATCTCAGAGGGAGGTCTATACAGCTGCAGAGGAGGAAGAGGAGATCCAGTTTTTACAACAGAAACAAGCAATGAAATCTCTATTTGGAAAACTGGTGAGTTTATTGTTTAATTCTGGGATAAACCAATGATCTCTTTAAATCTCAGCTATTAATCAGTGCTGTTTAAGAATCCATCTTTTCCAACAAAAGAGAGCTCGAATAAAAAAAGAAAATTGTAATTGAGATCCAGTTTTTACAACAAAAATAATCAATTCAATTTCTATTTGGAATACTGGTGAGTTTAGTTTTTTATTCTGTTATTTTTTTTCATTCACTTATTTTAATCCGGCCAAATTAACACTCTCTTCACATCCAAGCTATTAATCATTAGTATTACATAATAATTTTGGTTAAAGTCAGATTTTCAATACCAAATTATTTATTAAGCTGTTGAGAAAACCTTTAGCAGATATAGAAATGATAGACATTAACAAAACTATGCACATAATACAGATAAACATGTTAATGTAGTTTAAAAGCTCAGATAGCAAACTGTTTATCTCTGATAACTCGAAACATTTTAGATACAGTTTGTCTGTTTGATGAACATATTATATTTTATGTGTTTATTGTAATCTACCTTCTGTTACAGTCTCTATATTGTATGAGTGTGTCTCTGATTTCCTCTGTGATAGAAAGGTGACCTCTATCACAATAACCACTGGAGATGAACACTAGTTCTGGAGCTATTCATTGGCCGTCTGGATGCTCAATAATGCAGATATTTGAATCTATAAAATAAATCCCCAAAGTAAAAAAGTCTAACAGATAAAAAAAAATTATATTTAATAAACAATGGTGATTCCCAATTCAGGCATGAAGTAGATCAGAGATCTTTAATTCTAGTCCTTGAGGTCTGGTGTCCTGCTCCCTTTAAATGTGTCTCTGCTTCAACACACCTGAATTAAATGGATGAATTACCTCCTCAGTATGAAGAGAAGGGTCTGGTCCCAATAGTCACCCTACACCCTACACCCCTCTGTGAACTATGTAGTTGGTCAGATTGATGTAATAGTTCAGACTTCCCTGCAGTGATTTACATCATACTGTTAGATGTTGGTAGACATGGTTATCTCAGTGCCAGATGTGACACCTTACTGTCTTTACCTATGAAACATCTTCTTGCTTTTGGGATTTAGAGATTTAATCTTGTATTATTTGAAAGAAACAAATCAAATAACATTTTTATTATTTTTATATAATATTTTCATGGTTGAGATTAAGTTGTTATCCATAGCAATTAACTTTACTGTAGTTTCTGTTTAATATACATCTATATCAGTTTTCTGACTGAATATCATTTATTCCAGTGTCTAAGCCCACTGTGATCCTTCAACCCAACTGGCCTCAGATATTCAGAGGAGAGAAAGTCACTCTGAGATGTGAGATCCATGGAGGTGGAGGAGCTCAGTGGACGTATGAATGGAGACCAACCAACAGAAACTCTCCAGCATCCAGTGAACACAGGATCAACACAGCTACTGAGTCTGGTGATAGATACTGGTGTAAGGCTAGAGGAGACTACCAGATAACAGCCTGGAGTGATGCCTTCAGACTCACAGTGAAAGGTGAGTCAGACTGAAAATGTTTAGTTTGTCTTGTTTTCATACACATCAACTTAAATAAAATATTAGGCAACTTTGTTTAATGAGTGAATGAGCCCAAATGTGAAAATACTAAACAGTCGTGTAAATATGCAGTTAGAGGCTAAAAGACATAAAATAAAGGAATCGTTTTTTCCTCCATCTACACTTGTCCTGTTGATAAACCTTAAAGCAGATAGAATCTATATTTCCTGTATCTCCATGCTTTAACAATATTTCTAAGCTTTGTAACAGAAGATAAATGACTCATTCAGAGGTTAAGGACTGATTTATTTTTTTGAAGATTTTCCTAAAACAAAACTCATTCTAATGATGGTCTATTTTCTGTTTGTTTCCACCAGCAGATAAACCCACAGCCTCACTGATAGCCGATCAGAGAATAATACCACTAGGGGGCAGTATAACACTGACCTGCTCTGTGTCCAGCTCTAATGGCTGGAAGTTTGACTGGTTCAGAAATGGGAAACAATATTCTGTAGTCCAGACCAGAGGAAACATTGAGCCATACGGAGACATCAGCATCTCAGAGGGAGGTCTATACAGCTGCAGAGGAGGAAGAGGAGATCCAGTTTTCTACACTGAAGACAGCAGTAAGGTCACAATCTATAAAACTGGTGAGTTTAGATTTATGTTGGAATAAAATAAGATAGTGAATTGTCTCTTCTGTTTTTCAGCCATGTCAATAATATAAACTATGGCTCCAGAATAAAAAAAACATTGCTATAGCTTCAATTGATGATGATGATGCCTCAAAGAAAAGTATTTTTCCTATTCATATGGCAAACAGATGTTTAACATTGCATAGTATTTTACAAGTCTGTAATTTAAAATAGGTTTTTATTTGTAATGCATGTTTGTCTGATGGAACATTTTGGTGTTTTTCATATATGTTACCAGTTCCTGTTATAACCACTGTGATCCAACAACCCAACTGGTCCCAGATATTCAGAGGAGAGACAGTCACTCTGAGATGTGAGATCCATGGAGGTGGAGGAGCTCAGTGGACGTATGAATGGAGAACAACTAGCAGAAACTCTCCAACATCCAGTGAATACAGGATCAACAAAGCTACTGAATCCTACAGTGGAGAATATAGATGCAGAGGAAGAAGAGATGTCTTTTCAATAACAGAGTGGGGAGTCCTTATGTTAAATGTGTCAGGTGAGTTTTTCTATTTTTCACCACTGTCTACATTTAATAGGGATTTTAACACTCTTAGTAGAAAAAATAACAGGCTTTTCACTTAATTCTCTTTAGGTGGAAATATGTTCATTGTTTGACCTGATATAAAAAAAATGTTGAGAATCAACATTTGCAATAGATTAGAATCAGTCACAAATAATCATGTTGAAAACATCAGGATTGCATGCATAGTTTTCTCCATAGATGAAAACATGACAATCATTGGGCCTCATGCAAAAACATTTTAATGTTACTCTTTCGCTTACCGTGGGCTCTTATGAATGTGCCAAATCAGATTCAACATACATTCTTAACTTCAGTAAATAATGATGACAAGTAAATGATCCTTGTAACCCTGATGCATTCCACCTACGCCATATAAGGGTATGAATTCCCATGGGGTTCATTCACACAAAAAAAATAATTGAAAATGAAGAAGAAAAACTTGGATTTGGAGATGGAGGTTCTGCTGACTGAGAGCGGAGTAGCAGCATTAAAGGGCCAATAAAAGCCAAGCAATGGGGAATAAATCGCTGGAGATATAAATTATATGTTTATACTTTTACAGAAGTAAAAATAAAATAAGAAAAATAAATATAATTTGAAACAGTCATTGAAATATGATGTAAATGCTTAATATGAGTTCAACATTAACCAACATGACACAACATTATAGAAAATCTCCTTATAATGCGCTCACACGCATCTACTTAACATCTCAAACCAAGTCTGGCTAAACTCTAATTTGGCAGATTCAGGCAGACTGACACCTAACAGTCCACATTTTATGTAATACTAAAACCAAGGAGCTGTGATAAACTGAATTAAATATATTTCTGACCATTAGAGGATTTTCAAGCAGCAACATGTTGTTGTAGTTTCTTAATTGAAAGCTGATTAACAGGCTTTTGGTGTACGGCAATCATTATAACCAGCTGTGCTGAAGCAGAGAAACCTCTAAAACCTGCAGGACAGGGGACCTTGAGGACCGAGTTTGGGGATGCCTGTATTAAACCATTCAAACTCATCCGTGCCTTCTCCTCTCTGCATTTGGGTCCTCCACACAACTTGACATAAACTTGGATAAAAAAGACCTTAATCTTTATTCCAGTCTACTTTAAAGATTTGACATGAAAAGATATTTTTTATCAAGAGTCTTTGTTTCTGATATTTATCGACGAACAGCCAGACAGCAGCAATAGCAGACTGTCTGTGTGGCTCAAAGAGGAGGATGAAGCAGCTGAATCAACATTAAGCTAACTTCACTCCATATTGGGAATCTAGAGCCAGAGGATCTAATCAGTACACCTCAGGGCTGCTGGTCTCATCAATAGAAGCTTCCTTTGCTTCCACCATTTCCTCTGTCTCTGATGAAGACGGTGGAAAGAAATCCTCCTCCTCCATGTTTGTGCTGTCCATCTGTCAATCAGAGCTAAGACCACACCTAGCCCCCAACTTTTTGCATGTCTCCAGGTCAAGGGCGTAGGTCTGATTTGAACTTTGGTAGGGACACTATTGGTCTGGTGTCATTGGTGCTATGCAATATGCATGCCCTTTTTTATGCTCGATGTGAGCATCCGTACTGATAAGAGGAATTCATTGTTAAAAGAGAAAAGCAACATTTTGTTCCATTAATAAAAATGTTATAAGCTCTACACTCATTAGATGCTGTTTATCAATGTTTGAAGTATCACCGGCTCTGATGAATGTGGAATTAGGACTGTTTTCCACTTTGAAAACGGTTTCATTTGAATGACTAAGAGAGAAGGTAAATACAGTATTTTCTTTTGAAGATACAGAATTGTGCAGAGTTAAACCCCACTCTAATATTTGTACCTACTATTCTCTCTCTGTATCAAGCAAAATAATACATTCATTAAAATATTAACTTCACTATAAAAGTTGAACATCTGGGCTGTAGTTACTCTGTGAAGCCAATATCATGTATTTCATCTGGGGCTGAAAAAAATGAATCATATTAATTGATTATTTCAATAATCGTCAACTAATTTAGTAAGTGATTCATCATTAACTGGAGTATAGAGACTTTAAAACATACAGTAATATAAATGTAAAATGTGCCTTTCCCCAGAGAGCAACCCACTTAGATCAGTTATTATACAAAATTGTAAAAATAAAAACAAAAAAAATGAAAACAGTAATATCAACTTAATATCGGTAAAAAGCAAACCTCCACATTTTCTTTTTTAGTTGGCTGTGGCTAATAATCAGAAATGTTGACGCTTACAGCCTTTATTTGCCCATTTTTCCAACAGTCTTCAGAACTCCTGGCTGACTCACAATATTTCGTTTTATAAAAGAAAAAAAAGGTTTTTGTTTTTTAGTGTACATGATATTCATTTTTTTTATTGGGGCTAGTTTTGTAGCCTAATATTAATTGTAGTAACCGCTGCATTCTAGTGTGAATAAATTTTCAATGTTGTGCTCCAAGCACACGTGGACTAGAAAACAGCCAATCAGAGAGAGAGAAGGCGGAACTTAAGGCAGAACAACCAATGAGAGTTGAGTTAAACAGCGCAGCACAGTTCCATGCGCTGCTACATGAAAGGGACAGGAGAGACCAGCAGAGGAGCTGCGAGAGGAAAAGAAGCCACTGCTGCAACAACTAGTGCTGTAAATTATAAACATGTTGCTCACATCCAATTATTGGTCGGGACAATTAGGTCGGTTCAAAATTTTGGTAGGGACATGTCCCTATGGTCCCTATGCAAACCTACGCCCATGCTCCAGGTGCTCTAGAACCTGCCTCCATGAGGTGAATTTTTCAAAAGTTATATATAGGATAACGTAAGATTCCAGTACAGGGTTGAGATGCTCTTTTAGTGATAAATCCATGATGTTAAAGCTGCTCTGAATTGACTATCTGATTTAAATATCCTGTCCAATTTAAAACCCAAATCAATCAAAGTTGATATAAAATATATTGCAAGGGTTCCCAAATCAACAGTGGTGAGATCGCCAACCATTCTCACCTGTTTCTTTTTGTTAAAGTAAAAAAGTTCAGGGTTAGTCATGCTTTAATGTTTTCTCAACAGTCTAAAAGTCTCTTCATTAACAAGCTGTCCCCCCTGCTTTAAACTAAGGGTAATAAATAAAATAAAAAATGAAAAGAGGAGGGGCCCTATTATTTAGCCTTGTGGGACTCAACTTGATAGAGAAGTATAGAATGATTAAGTGTTTGAGACGTTGACACAGAAAGCTGAAAGCTGATGACTTAAAGATGTTTAAATTTATATATGTTAAGTAGAGAGAACACACAGTACTTGGAATTTGTAACTGAGGAGGAAAATGTTTTACAAGATAAACAGTTACTAATGAAATTGACTCTGACAAGGTTTAATAAAAAATAATTTCTATTGTGTTTTGTTAAGATCTTCTGTATATTGAATGTGGTCATCATGAATTAATTTAAACAGTTTATGATCGTACAATTTGATAAAAGGGATCATAAGCAATTAAAGATTAGAAAATGTTTTTTTTTTTCATTAAAACCAGCCTGATACCATTACTCAAATGGAACTAAAAGACAATTTAAAAAGATTTTAAATATGGTTAAGTATTGGTCATCTTTAGCCGGAGTGTTGCTTGTTTGTGATATACAAAGTACTTTTAAAGGTAGTATGCTTGTTTGGTATCAGCTGGTTCCACCTTGTTTTTTCACTCTGAACATCTCTGTCTCCGTCAGCTAAACCTCAGCCTGTCCTCTCTGTGTCTCCATCAGATAAAGCTCAGCCTGTCCTTTCTGTGTCTCCATCATGGCTGAGTCCTGGAGCCTCAGTGACTCTGAGCTGTGGGGGGTTGGAGCATCTATCTGCAGGATGGAGGTTCTTCTGGTATAAAGTGGTTCCAGCAAAATCCAGCAGCTCCTACAGCTTTGAGCCGCTGACCGGCAGAACCAACTGGACTGAACAGAACTCCTACCTCATTAATGGACAGAATCACACAGCAGGATATGTGTGCAGAGCAAGAAGAGGAGAACCAGTGTTTTACACTGAATACAGTGAACCAAAGTTTGTCTGGTCTGCAGGTCAGTTTATCTCTGTTCTTAGAAGGATCCTTTTGTTTTTAATTTTGATACATTTTCAACAGTTTGCATTTCACCTATAATGCTGTCAATTATATTTACCATCAGTTCAGATTTGGTAGAGTTTATCTGAAGTCTCCTTCAGATGTTATTGGCTTCCTCTCACCTGACTGGACCGGACCTCAGCAGAGAACCATGAGCTGCCTGTCCTCAGTCAGGTTGGGACTGGGGGCCGGTATCAGACATTCAAAGTCTCCCAGAAGTTTCTGGAGTCTCCTTGATATAGATAGTTGTTCACGGATGCCCACAAGTCGGATAAATTATCCCTGAATTTTAGACTATGCAAGGTGGTGTTTTTTTAATGTGAGAGAGAGCGTGCAGACAATACAATAATTCGTGCACCATGTGTGGATTAGAACTACTTTGATTGAGCAGAAAACAAGAGAGAGAAGGGTGTGGGGAGGAGGTTGTTTGTGAAACCTGTGCGTATCTGTCCCAAGCGATGCTCTGTTCAAGGAGCGTTCCAGGCGACTGGTTGTCAGAGAGCGCACTGATTGGATTAGTCAGAAAAATAAGCCAATAAGTTTTGATTTTCTCTTATACAGTCACCTAGTTACCACTCAAAGCTGTGCATCCTGTGAAATAGGTTGAATCCTCCACTAAAAAACGAAAATATAAGACTCATTTTACAGCAGAATATACTAAAGTATGTCCACGTCTAGTGAAGATGAAGAATGATGAAGTGTGTATGTATGGGGCACGGTGCGGGTGTTTCTCTTGGAGTTTGAAGCAAAAATCTTTGCCGCGGTTAGATTGAGAGGAAACCTATAAAAGCTGTAGGTCCTGAAGTAGCATTCAGCTAAACTCCACCCCTGATGCCGAAACAGTGCCAACCTGCAGTGGTATGGTAACTTAAAGTTATGAGGGGCCATAGAAATCTGCAGAAACTCTAAAACCTCTTGTTATAAAAGCTGCAACTAAAAAATAGAGAAATGTCATAAGAAAATCAGCTTTATTTTTTCTTTTGTAGATAATAGGCTGGGTTTTTCAAAGACATTGTTTGATTTTTATAATAAACTTTATGATGCCAAATATCTTTTTAGGGTCAGCGTTAGCTGTCAGTGCTTTAGCTTCAAAATTCTGTATTAGTTTTGATTACTGGGGGCATAATTTTAACATAGAATAGCGACCATGTTACTCTAGTTCTCAAACCAATCATGGCATTCTCTACAATTATTTGAGGATTTTAGTGGTTATTAGGCCTCCATTTCCTTCCTGACGAGCGAATGGGGGACAAGGAAGGACAGTACGAAACAAAAACAGAGTCCAAAGCACAAAACAACCCATCAAAGGTAGGCAAGGACAAGCACATTCTCTGAAGGCCGGCTGTGAGGCCAGAGGCCAAGCAAAGTCTCTGGAGGCAGGCCGGGAGGCCTGAGGCGAGGCAGAGACCCAGGAGGCCAACCGTGAGGCCTGAGGCGAGGCAGAGACCCAGGAGGCCAACCGTGAGGCCTGAGGCGGGGCAGAGACCCAGGAGGCCAACCATGAGGCCGTAGGCAAGGCAGAGTTCCAGGAGGCCGACCTAGGATGGAGCTAATAGCTGCAACTATTTCAAGCCGTATGGATGTACTTTGGAGAAGGGTACATTAAAAATGAGACCTCACGTTATAAAGTTTTTGCTGTCAACAGTCTCACAAATTCTCAAGGTTTCTGATGCCACACAATGGAGAAATGTGGACAGTGTCAGTAACCCAGCAGACATAGCCTCCAGGCGAGTGAAAACTAATGCATTGATCAAATATCTTGTGTGGTTGTCAGGACCTCAGTTCTTGCTGCAGCCTCTGAGTGAGTGGCCTGTCAGTTCACAAAATATCAGTGTGCTTTCACCTGAAGATCCTGAGCTACAGAGAATATCAGTGGTTAATGCTATGCCAGTTTGCCAAGAGATGGCAGATTTACCAAATGAAAGAACTGTTCCAGATGAGTCACCATTTACTTGTGTTGGAGTAGATTACTTCGAACCTTTTGAAGAAAAAAGCAGAAGAAACATGGTCAAAAGATATGGTGTTATTTTTACCTGCCGTGCCATCAGAGCAGTCCACATTGAGGTTGCACCATCCCTGCACACTGATTCTTTCATCAATGCATTTAGACACTTTGTTGCAAGAAGAGGCCAAATCCAAGATCTTTGTTCTGATAATGGTACCAACTTTAAAGGAGCAGAACGAGAACTGAGGACAGCTATTGGACAGTGGATCAAGGAGCAAATTATGGATGTTATGCTACAAAAGGAAATAAAATGGAACTTTAATCCATCAGCTGGTTCACACTATTGCACATCATGGGAACGGTGGATAAGATCTATCAACAAAATACTCAACTCCACCTTTAGAGCACAAACCCTTGATGAGGCTGGCTTGCACAGTTCTTTGAGAAGCTGAAGTCATCATCAACAGCCAACCAATCACAAAGGCCCCAATGGATGTGAATGACCTGGAAGCACTAACTCCTAATCACCTCCTGTTGTTAAAAAACTGTCCTTCCCTACCACCAGGAGTGTTCCAAGAAAAATATATGGACATATATGCACACAGGAGATAAAAGCAGGTCAAATATATGTCTGATCTTTTTTGGAAGAGATGAGTGAAACGATATTTACCCCAGTTGCAGGAGCTCCAGAAATGGATAGGATTAAAGATGAACGTCAATGTAGGAGACCTTGTTTTCATTGTGGACAGCACAGCACCTCGAAACTCATGGTTGATGGGACTATTGATTCAAATATTCCCAGACTGAAGATGATTTGTTCGTCAGGTGCGGATAAAACTCGGATTAGTTGCTTGAACAAGCCCATTACAAAGGTTTGTTTGGTGCAGGAGCCCGAAGATGATTAATCACGAACTAGCCTCAACAGCGATGAAGGATTCTGTGAACTCTTATGGATTTCTGCAGAAGTCTATTCATTACTTTCCTACTTGGCCTTCCTATGAGTTCATTCTATTTTTTTACTGTGAATTTGTTGTTTGAATTGTGAGTTCATCATGAAGAATGAAGACTTCAGTGTGGATTAAAATTATTACTGTATTACTGATGGACTCTAACTCCCAGGTTTTTAAAAATGTTGGTTATTATTGTTGCATTGATGCGCCTAATAGCAATTGGTAATTATTGAATAATAATTAATGGGCTTTTGTGTAGGAGCCATAATGATAGGTGGACATGTGTATGTATCACGTTGGGCGTAGTTGCTGTGGTGACATATGTGGTGACAGCTGATTGCTTACATGGGTGTGTTTACCTGCACTCCAGAGGAGAGAGGGGAGCGGGGTAGCCGTATTTGTTGTTGACCGTTTGCTTTATCATTTAGATCAGTATGTCACATCATGTACATTACAATCTGTTGTGAGTGACTATATAAGCCAGTGGACAGTATTAAAACACCAAAAACGTATTCCTGGATACCAAGTGCATTTCTGATCAAGACGGCTGTGCATCATACACATACAGCACCCTATATCTACCTCTCAAGCGACAAGGATTGCTATGGAGACGCTACAGGCGGAGCATGACTATATTCCTTAAATGTTTCTCTATAAATAACATCTTTTTACAATGCTATTATATTAGAGCACATTTTTTTATGCTTTTTTTCAGACTCTCATCCAGCTGCTTCTCTCTCAGTGACTCCAGACAGAGTTCAACATTTTATCTATCAGTCTGTCACTCTCAGGTGTAGTGGGAACAACACTGAGTGGAGACTGAGGAGGTTTACAGAAATAGGTGAAATTTCATACACTGACTGCTCCAACTGGCGGACAATGACTGGATCCTCATGTACTATAAACTCAGACCGGTCTCACAGTGGAGTGTACTGGTGTGAGTCCGGATCAGATTTTAGCAACACAGTCAACATCACTGTACAGGGTAGGTTTTAATTTATGACATTTACTTTGACCTTTTACTACGGTATGTTTAGACATACTGTAAAAGCTGCAGTTTCTTTTTTAACATAAATCTTGCTCTCCTGAGGCTTTGTGAGGGCAAATCTGTGTTTAGCATGGTCCAAAATTGTCACAAATCTAAAAAAACAACAACAATGTACCAGTTTAATAATGGAGAAGCTATTGGTCAGCTTTACACTTTTTTAATTAATGAGAATGTATATTAAAGAATGCAAATGAACAAATATCAAGAAAAAGTACACTATATTATATTATTTTCCATGTGAATTCAAAATTGTTCATTCTTCTTTGCCTTTTATAAAAAGTGCTTTAATTCAGTCCTACCTGTCTTTAGACATGTTGGGCCAGATCCTGACGTTATAAAAAGGAGGCAGGGAAAGCAGGATAATGATATTTGTTGCTAGCCAAGCCGCCTTGATAAACCAGGTCCTGAAAAAGGACATTTCTTGCGCCATTTCTCTCCATCTCTCTCCAATGCATCTCCAACCCCCGTGGGTCGACCTGTCAATCAAAACATCTGCCCTGTGACGGGAGGTGGTGAGCAAATACACTTCTTGTCAGCTCTCCTATACCTTTGTATTGCAGAGGGACTACTGCGCATGTACAATGTTTAACGAGTGTTAATGTGCAAAGATTTTTGTGCCCTAGGGCGGAAATACGTCACCAATCCGATGAAAAATGGAATGACAGTTTATTATAGCCTTATAAACCATACTAAATGTGACATTAAATGTGTAATTTAGTCTGGCCCAGGTGAATGACACATCAAAAGATTGTTGATGAATACAACCCCATGTCTGTGCCTATTGGCCAACGCTCTGACCAATGAGCGCAACTGACTGAGATGTAGTAAGCGTGTGAAAGCTAGTGGAGGAGTGTAAACAAACAGCCTGTCGGTAAAACAGTGAGTACGTCCTTCTTAAAAATTAATGAGCGTAGAGCCTCTTCCTGCTCACGTTTCAACGAAAACCCCAAATCTAATCCTTCCAAAACCGATTCCAAAGCTGAGTTAAATGAGAACTGTTCAATAGTTGTTGCCATCTTCCTTGTTGTGCTTTCTCCAGCGTTGCGCAGCTTCGTCATCATGCCCTCAAAACCCCGCCTGCTTTGCATCCGAAAATTCAAAACACATCTCTGCTTTGTGATTGACCCCTCCAGTGCTAGGGCCTGGGGCATTGATCAAGGCTAGACCAAACTCGCAGGCAAAAATTATTTTGGCTGCTGGCGGGTGGGGCTAGTTTACTAGCCTAACTTTATTAGTCATTAAATATTTATCTTACAGATCTAAAAAATATATATCGATATATTTCGAAGTATTTTACATTTTAATTTAAAATTAATCAATAATCAAATGAAATTATAAAAGAAATATTTATTTTTTTTGTCTTAATCAGTGTCATTGGGCGTGGGGTGGGGCCCTAGTGCCCTCTATTGGCCAGCCAATAGCCGCCACTGGCTCAGCTTCCTTCTTCCACTTTTCTGTTTTTCCAAAATGTGGCTTCATGTGTTTAAGTAAATGTTTGCTCTAAAGCAGTTTTTAGAAGAACTAACAGATAAATCCTCTAATTGTAAAACAGATAAGCTGAAACAGAAAAAAAATTGTTAGAATTAATTCAATAAAGTGTTTCAACCCTAGAAATAACTTAAATTTTTGATAGGTAATATAAATGTTTATTTAAGCAAATCTAAAATGGGAATATGACATATTGTTTAAGAAATCCTTATTGGTTTAATCCATTCTTTGTCTGAAGTAAATGAGAGCAAAATAACTTTAACAAAGAGCTCTGACTTCAACACTGATGTTAAAATATAGTTTTCGGGGAGAACATAAATGGTTCTTTGGAAATGTCTTGTGATTTTGTTTTAGAGTAGGAACTGAGGTTATTAAAAATAGAGTAGAAAATGGGCTTAGATTCAGGTGTCACAAAAAGCGTGTTACTTTCTAGGAGGAATTAATATAATGTAAAGGAAAATTGATAAGATTAGATCCTCCTTTCTACTCTCCTAAAAATGAGAGATAAGTCAAATATATCACCCGCATTTCAGGAATTCATCTTATATTCATCATAATGAATGTTTGTTTATAGGGACCTATTTTTGTAATTAATATCAATTCAGAACAATGACAAATTTCTGAGAATATAGAAATTCTTGTTTTGTTAGTAGAAGTTGGTCCGTCCATTAACTTAGTTTAACATCCAGTAATCAAAAAGCATATTAAATATGCCTCCATAAACCTAAGGAATAACTACACCTGATTGCTGAGCAAAACCTGATATTCTGACTGTTTTACAGATGAAAATAATGGTATTATCCTGGTGAGCCCTATCCAGCCTGTGACTGCGGGAAATCCTGTAATTCTGAGTTGCAGAGATGAAGAACAAAAACTCTCCAATGTGTTTTTCTATCACAATAACAAACTGATCCAAAATGACAGCAGAGAGGAGCTGAAGATCTCTGCAGTGTCAAAGTCAGATGAAGGTTTCTACAAGTGTGAACATTCAGGAAAGGAATCACCACAGAGCTGGATGGCTATTAGAGGTGAGAGGATGAAAACATTTGATGGATTTTATGATGTTAATGAAAGGATGTTTATGTAAACATGTCTCACAATCTGCAGATAAATAAAACACATTCTATTTACATTATCCCTATTTCCAGTAACCGAGTCCAGTCCTGTCAGCTCTTCATTTCTTTTGCTGCTGATTGTTGGAACAGTTTTTGGAATCATTCTCCTTATTCTCTCACTTATGTTGTGGCGCCACAGACGTTCCAAAGGTCAGATCACACTCTGTCAGATTGCTTATTCGAACCTTTTTAAATAAATGTAGTGGTCATTTCAAAATAACTTAAGTATGATTTGAACCATTAAAGATATAAATCAATAATGAATGTCTTTTTCACAGATTTGAATTCTTCCAGGTCTGTACACAACTCACATTTTCTTCTATATCTAACATAAACCACTGTAATTGTTTGTAATAACATATCTTTCTATCAGAACCAATCAGAAGCCCACCACAAATCACAGATTAGAGACCAAGATTAATGACCATAGCTCTGCCACGAAGGGTAGGAAGTTGAACAAGTCTTTTTCATAAAGTATTGAGATATAAACATATATTTGTCTCTTATTTTTTTAAAACAGTTAACATGCATATATCTAGACAAACATTAAAAACTGCTAGAGTGACAGAAATTATTGACACAAATAGAATATGGAATCAGTTTATATATACAGAAAATGATTTTCTATATTTTTGCTTTGAATGATTTTTTTTTTCATATGTATGTATTGCCTCAATGTAAGACTACTGTACAAATAGAATAAAGGAAATTTCAGACAAGTACAACCGATAACAACCACGTTATTGTTAAAGCAAACAATCTGGTATTTTATGGTCTGTTGAAATAATCTATTTATCGTCTAATATTTTTCTTTACAGTAGACGATGCCCTTTATGCATCAGTCAAACCTTCTAGAGCCACTGGATCTGGTAAAGTACATCTATTCAAATCAGTAACAGTCTCAAAAACTGTTAACAAAACAACTAATCTAATTTCTCTAAAATCAGGACATAATTCTGCTGAAGAGGAACTCACAGAAATCACATACTCCATTATTCAATTAAAAGAACTCAGAAAAAAGAGTGAGTTCTAAGCAAATCTTCTACAACACAAAACAACAAATCAGTGATTTCAGACTTTATGTTTTTGTCTTGTTGATCCTTTGATGATCTCAACAGGCAGACCTCGTGAGCCAGAGGATGTTGTTATTTACTCTGAGGTGAAACTGGGAGTTGAAGGTACAGTCAGTCTTTACAGTCTTTTGTCACACTGCAGGCAGGTCCAGCTCAAAATGGAGTTTAGATCATCTGTCTCTTCTAATATCTATGGGTCCTCTACACTATACACACTATAAAATGATAGGTTTTGTGGCATATAAAAGAAAAACTAAAAAATAATAATTTTATATTTTCCACCTTTTTCATATTTTATTCTATCTGTTTTAGATGACACCAGAAAAAAACAGACACGGAACAATGAGTTTTACAAAAAAGTCTTAGAAACCACCTTTGATTAAATTTAAGCTCTCCCTTTCATAGTTTACTCTAAGTTTTATCCCTCAGATAAAGCCACAGTTTGCAGATAATTAAAAAGGATCATAGTAATGTAAAACAGAAAAGGTATAAAGTAAAATATACAGAAAACCATCCAAAAATCTATTTTAACACTTTTGGACCATTAGTGGCTGGAAAAAATATGAAATACCTCTGAGAACAAAAAAAAAAAAAAAGAATGAAAAGACAGAACTGATTAAGGTCATAGAGGTTGCCAGACAAAGGCTTCAACCCTAGAGGAACTTAAACAAGTCATGGTTTGTACTTGTAGTATTCTACAGTATTTAACAGCAATCGGCTATTTCCCACATATCTGCATTACAGATTCGGAATCAAGACCCAATCCTTGAATCCTAAGGAAACATTAAACTCCCTGAAATGTGTTTCAAGAATGCGTCATAGTCTGATCAAACTAACTTTTGGGTTTAGACCACAAGTCCAAAGATTATGGTAGAAGAATAGAATTCAACTTCATTGTCATTATATTGTCACAAGTACAAGGCAATGAAATGAACTCTCTACATTTAACTCATCCTCTTGGGAAGCAGTGGGCTGCCATTGTCCGGCACCCGGGGAGCAGTGTGGGGTTAAGGGTCTTGCTCAGGGAGCAAGAGTGGCTACCCGTGGGAGTGGGGCTTGAACTCAAGCACCCAGGCACATCGCTCTAACCACTAGGCCTCCACTCCCCTCTTGTTTAGCACAATACCACCCCTGCATATCACCAAGAGAACTAGGGTACAGGGGAACCTACAAAGGCGGTCAAAATTATGAACACTTAGCAAGAAAAATATATTCTCAACCCAAACTCTCAGCTGAGGATGAAGAGCGGTTTTCATTTTCTGCACCAGACCTTGTTTGTTGTTAATATAAAAGGAGGTATTAGTGGAAAATATTGGTTTTGGAATGGACCAGGTCAAACTGTAAAAACAAAGTTTAACAGAAGATCTGTTGTATTGAGAACAGAAAGTGTTGAGGAGAAGAGATGTCCAAACATTCAGATCGATATGCAGAATATTTTAAAGAAGAAACCATGGAGAATTTTAAATGTGTGATTTTAGACACTGGCTAAAGTATACACAGTGAGGACACCCTGCTATTTGCAAGTTCCCCCACTTAGAAATCATGGAGGGGTCTGAAATAGTCATTGTAGGTGCATGTCCTCTGTGAGAGACATAATCTAAATACAAAATCCAGAAATCACAATGTATCATTTTCTTTAACAATTTATTTGTATGATACAGCTGTAAATAAGTTTTTGAACACCTAAGAAATCAATGTTAATATTTGTTACTGTAGCCTTTGTTTGCAATTACAGAGAAACATTTCCTGTGGTTTTTCACCAGGTTTGCACACACTGCTCGAGGGAGTTTGGCTCACTCCTCCACACAGATCTACTCTAGATCATTCAGGTTTCTGGGCTGTTGCTTAGAAATACGGAGTTTGAGCTCCCTCCATAGATTCTCTATTAGGTTTAGGTTAGGAGCCAGGCTAGGCCACTGTAGAACCTTGATATGCTTCTTCCAGAGAGAATCATTGTTGTCCCTGGCTGTGTGCCTTATTTTCCTCTCTGTATTTCTCGTAAAATCTTTGGAAATCATTTGTCTTGTGTGAGATTTTCTAAATTATCTGTGCATGTTTTGAATTTGGGTACATATTTTTAGAATCCAGTTAATTTAGTTTTGTTATAATTATCTCAACCAGCATGCCTTGCAGAGCATTTAAATGTTCTAATGTATCTATAAGGGAAACTGATTTCACTTCAGTTTCTGGTGTGATCGTAAAGTGTGGCAAAAACAGCACATTGGTTTGTATTCAATGTCATCTCATGCTATAGTATTAAAATATAGCCCAAGCGTGATATAATGCATAACCCTGACCACAGGATACATTTTTAAAAATGCCACCAAAGTGGGCAGTGCTTCTTGTAGATATAAGCCATGGGAGAACATTAAAATTTATATGATGAAAAAAATATATGTTCTGAGAAGTAAAATGATATGTTAAGTATTAAACCCTTCACTTGGACTTTGTACCATTATTCCTTAATATGGAGCTGTGACAAACATGTAGCAGTTAAACCAGTAAATGAATTTTCCTCTGCATAAGCCACTTTTTAACCAACGAGGGTGACCAGATAAAAATCAAATGTTGGGCAACTAGGATCCTTATGAGGTACAATGTGGGAAAGAAGAAGCTTTTCAGTTGTGCATTTTTTTGTGACTTAGTTTTATGTTTGTTTACATTGAGCTCCTCTCATACTAAAATTAGAAATAGGGCCTGACTTCGTAGAACTTCACCAAACAGCTCTCTGAGAATCACCTTTCACTGCTTACACAGTCTTTGTTGTAGCTATGTTTTGTTTTTCTTTAATCACAGTGTCCATAATACTTTGTGTTAAATTTCTTTACCTTGTTTTAAGAGAATTACGTGCAGCTCTGAATTTTTCATATTTAGAAAATTACCTTTGAATATTTGTATATATTTTCTTTTACTTTTTTCTTCTAATTTGACCCATTCAAATGCTGGACATTGTTTCCATTTGTGGGATGGTGGGAGAGAATCAAAAAATGCAGAGTTTACTCTGACTGTTCTGTCCAAATAGGGACATCGGGTAACCCTGCAACCAACAGAGGGCACTATGGCTGAATACCAAAATGTCAAAATATGCTGCAATAAATAAAGATAGCATCATTAAGGCCAAATAATAAAGTTTAAATCGGTTTATTTTTGGCTTAATTACTCTTTGAATACCATGTCTGGTATGATTAAATAACATTTCAGTTTCAGATCCTGCTCCATTGTATGCTGAAATCAACCATCAGAATAAAGCCAATAACAAGGAGAAAGGTAGAGTCTGCAAATTAGCTTCATTTCCAATACCCAGTATATTTATTGAAATCATTGTAGGTATTGTACATATTGAATACAGTATTGTTACCAAATTCCCTATTGTAGTTATCCATTTAGCATGATCTCTGAATAAATTAGGATTTTATATTTATGTAACCATTTATTTGATACAAGTTGTGTGTATAGGCTTGTCCAGGTAATTATGAGCTTAGGAATCAGAGTCTTGCTTGGGGATTTTGTTTTCATTTATAAGGATTGCTGTACATGCAATTGTTTCACACATTTTTTCCCTCCTTTTACAGCCAAGAAGAACCCTGCAGCAACAGAAGAAACAATTTATTCTGAAATCAAATCACAAACAGCTCTGGATAATAAATCTGCCATGTAGACTGAAAAATGTGCTGGTTTATCTATATTGTTGTGCTTCAGTTAATTTATGAAAGTCTTCTTTTAACTATTGCATATGACATTGTTCAATTTAAATGAAAATCACAATGATCTGATATGCTTAGAAGTTTATATAAAATATAGGCCTTATGTGGGATCTTTAAGCCCTTTACATTCGAGCTT